GAATCATATCTCGCAATATATTTTGAAAACCAATTAGTCCTTCACCCATATCAAATCCATCATCTGCATTATCATCATCATCATCATCACCATTTCTTTTTTGTTTAGTACCCACAACAAAAAAATCACTTTTTTCTTTACTAAAGGACGGATCCAAGAGTTATGATTAGTGGGAACAAATATTTTAAATTAACTTAATTTTTTTTATTCAAATGCAAATTGATATAAAAAAATTACAAATAAAATCAAGATGTATATCATATTTTCTTTTTTTGTCACAAAAATAAATTTTCTTAGTTAAAATTACTTATATGTTCTTAACAAATATAGTCGAAACATTATTTGGATAAATTAACTTTCAATATAAAAGCACATATATTAATTTAATAAAATTTTATTTATAAAATTCTTGAAGATAGATATAATATATGAAAGAATAATATAAAAATTAACTTAGCTAATTTTATTATTCACTTTTAATATGTCCAGTTTTATCATTTACTTCAAATAAATAAACATATTGTATTTCTTATTTATTATAATTTGAAGAATAAAAATGCCTATTTTCTTACATACAATGAAAAAAACAATGAAGATATAGATCTAAATGATTTTTTAAAATTTTTATTACTTCACACTTTATATATTACTTTTTTTGTGCTAAATAAGTGGTTAAAACCATTTAAGTAATACAAACTTTAAGTTTCGCTACTCTTATAAAATCACCTCATATTAATCTAAATAAATTATTAGAAGAAATTTAAAATTTAATAATTTCAAACTCACTAAAAATAACTTACTTTTTTTTTTTTACAAACTTATATATATTATAACAAAATTCTTTGGCACGCAAAGGATCAATATTCAATTACTAGATAAATAATAAAATATTTTTTTTGTATGACTCTTAATTTAGTGGAGGTAAATTTGATAAAAATATTTTTTGTGGGGGTAAAATTTTAAATTATCAAAACTTCTGAGATTTTTTTTCAATAAATCTAAAAAATTTAAGAACTCAGTGGGGCAGCTGCCCCTCTGGCTGCTAGTACATCCCTTCCTGTCTTCACTGAAGCTTGATGGACGTGAGCGGCTGGTGGCTCTTGGTGTTTTGGAAGACATCATAGAGGAATCTTGGAAAACACTCATTTTCAAGTACACAGCCTAAAAAACAGCTAATAAGATTGCATTCAAGAAATATTAAATGATACTACAAATTGAACATAAAACTATGAATGCTGAGCAAGGTGCCTGGATGGAATATACAAGTATTATTAAATGCATTTGCTAGATCAGAAACATTGTTTTTCTTTCTAGGCTTGCTACAAGCTACCTGCAGCTTACTGAACTAATGTCTCATTGAAACAAGCACACATATAATAAACAATCCACAAAGACATACACATATAACCTAAAAATCATTGGACAATTTAATTGACGATAAGCTTTCATCAAGCTAAATACAAGACTTGATTACTTCCATGCTCCAATAAATAATTATCAAAACAGAAAAAAAAATTGCCAGCTCAAGAATTATTATCATTAGATCCATGCACACAAATATAAATCACCTGGTGAATTCCCAAAGTGAGCTACTGTAAGCCACACCTCGCATTTCGACGCAGTGGAACGTGTACCCGCCTGCTATCTCATTCAATTACATTTGTTCCTATAATCTATAGCCTAACAAAACACAATCATAGCAACCAGGGTTCAGTGTTCGTTGCTTAGTCCATTGTCACGGCTAAAACTGAATTCCATGAAAGTATGAAGATAAAAGCATTGGATCTATCAGAATGTAGTTTTGGGAACTTATATTCTCCACAGGTTTTTGAAAATGGGTTCAAGAGAAGAAACGTAAGTATATGTTATGTTTAAAGCATTTTTTCTATTCTAATTCTTTCTTGTTTTTTTTTTGTCTTTAGTTTATTTTTGGTTTAATTAGCCTTTTTATATGTGTGATAGAGTTCTCAAGGTTTTCAGAATTTGTTCTTGGTTTGATTGTTATGCAGAATTTAGAAAGAGGGTAAAAAGCAAAAATTAATGAGAAGGAAGAGAAAAACCAAAAGAAGTGGTTCATGTCAGAGCGAGAAGAGGTCATGCTACTAATAGTCACAGTTTGACAGAAAGGGTACATATCTTAATAACTCATTTCCTTTCTCATCAAGATATTGGAATTTGTTATTTTTTCAAGATTAAAAGTATACCTCATTTTTTCGAAATTAAACATTAAGATACAAGGTAAATACTTTTCTCTCTACAATGAGAAGGAATTATTCCCAAGCTCCACTGATCTCTCAATTACATCATGTACAATACAATGAAAGTAGCAAAATTTAAAGAATAATGTTTTGACTTACTGTGTTTGATAATTTGCATACCATGGGCATGGCACTAATGTTAGATGAAACAATCAACTATGTCCAGTCTTTGTAGAATCAGGTTGAGGTGAGTTGAAAGAAAATTTATTTTTTTTTCCTTTTTCAACCAATGAATCACTCCAATAAACAATATAAAATATATATGAATACATGTATATATATATATGTATGTATATATGTATAGCTAGGTGGACGTGTATATGCCTATACATATGTTTGTTATATGTATTGTGCAATATTGTGGCATTGAAGGATGTTAGAAAGCTTAAGATTAGTTTGAAGGCGAATTATGATGATGATGTGGAAAAAGATAAAGATGCTGATGACAAATATTGGAGTGAATAAAATAGATGGAATTTTACTTTGGTTCCCCTTTTTGGTGTCTCTTTGGTTGCAATTTTTGTAAATGTAGTTGAAGAGCATGGTCTCCTACACGACAGTGAAATCAAGTTTGAATTCAGTTTCATTAAGTTTTTTAAACTTAAAATAATTTTTAGCAAAGTTAAAAGATTATTGTAACTTAAGTTGTTGCGTTTTGCTAGAAACTTAAACTAAAAAAACTTAAAAGAATTAAAGATCTTTACCGGGTATTTTAAGCTTTCATTGACCATTAATAAGTTTCCAGATGGTTAGATTTCCTAAAAATTATTGTAACAAATCGTGTGAAGCCGTACTTTACACACTAGTATATATTAATAACTATTCTCAGACTCAAACCAATTACACTATATATTAAAACTTGTTTTTCCCTTGAAAAGAAAAGTAGAATATGATGTTGAGATCTTATAATAAACTCAATTCCCCATCAAACACTTTCGAACTTAATCCAAACTCTTATAAGTACTAAAAGGATCTACCAATCACCAAATACAATTGTTATATTTATAATTTAATTACTTCAAGTTTAAGTAAAAGAGGAAGAAAACTCAGAAAAGGCATTAATAGAAAATGAGAAGAGAAATATCTTTCTTTTTTCATCTTTAAGGGGCATTTGGTTCAGGAAAGTAACTTTTTTTCTCAAAATCTTATTTTTTGTAATTGATTCTTTAGTTTAGTTTATGGAAATGTAATTCTTGAGATTTTTAAAACTTTTAACAATATCAAAAAATGAAAAAGTAAGGGAATTAAATATTCTCATCTCATTGAGATCTTTTAAGATTTCAAAGGGAAAGTGAATTTTTTTCTCATTTGTTCTCACTTAACTGTATTTTCAGATTATGTAAACAAAGTTATTTACATTATCAATGTAGTAATTTTTTATAAAATATTATGAAAATAATTTTTTCTAAATATATTTTAAACAAAGATTACTTTTTTAACACAATGCTATTCAAATCCTCACAAAAAGTTATATTAAAAACATAATTTTATTGAAAGGTTGAAAAAAACGGTTATTTTTCATAATTCAACAAAAAACAACATTTTTAAGACAAAAAATGCGGTCAAAATTATTTTTTAGAATTTAATAAGGACGATATTTTTAAGATAAAAAATGCAATCTTTGTTAAAAAAACAATATTTTTAAGATAGAAATGCAGTCTTTGTTGAAAAAAATAATATTTCTAATATTAAAATATAATTTTTATTAAAAATATGAAAACATATATTTTTTAAATTCAACAAAGATTACGTTTTAAATTAAAAAAAAATGCATTTTTTGTTAAAAAGATGATGTTTCTAAGATAAAAACTCAATTTTTGTTAAAAATATAAAAAATATATTTTTTAAAATTCAACAAAGATAATATTTCTAAAATAGAAAACACTTTGTTAAAAATGTGAAAAACTTATTTTATAAAATTCAACAAAGATGATATTTTTAAGATAAAAAAATTACAGTATTTGTTGGAAAGACTGTGTTTTCAAGATAAAAACATAATTTTTGTTAAAAATATGAAAAAAAATATATATACTTAAGAATTTAATAAAAACAACGTTTATAAGATAAAAAATATAATCTTTGTTGAAAAGATGATATTTTTAAAATAAAATTATAGTTTTTGTTGAAAATATGAAAATATAAAATATAAAATATTTTTTCTTAATATTGTTATATGTGAAATCTAAAATATATTTACTTAATACTATTTCACGTAAAATTTGTTTCGGGGACTTTGCTCTTAGCAAACTCTAAGAGGATGGTTTATCATCCCTTTCAACTCTCAGGTTGACCTTACGTAAAGGTTGATTCACATATTTTTTTTGCGTAAGGACAATTAACATTATAATAATTATTAAAATTATAAAATTATATTATTAAAATATAAAAAAATTAATTTTAAAAATTATTTAATTTTAATAAAAATAACATGTTATTCACGTATCACATTTATTCACATCTTAATATTATAAATACCACATATTATTTTTTTATTTTTAAAAATAATATAACAAACTATTTTATTTAGTAATTTTATATTTCTGCATGTGAACAAAATATAAAAATATGGCATTTCTTAAATTAATAACATTTAAAAATTATATATTCACTTTCAATATTTCTTTTCTCTTAAATAATTTTTTTCTTCTAAAATTTAAAATATGCAAAAGAAAATATCCATAATAAAATCTCCATATCGCTTTCTTTAATTTCCATTTCCCTTAAAATTAAAAATAAAAATAAAAGCGATGAGTCAAAATGTCAAATATACTTGGGAAAGGGGACTAAAAGTAGAATGGGTCATAGGCGTATAGGTGAGAACCACAGGCCAGTGGGACCCTTTCTTTTCCATCAATACTATCTGCATTCACGCCACGTGATGGTGATAAGAGTCGTCTACAGTGGGACTTGACTAAATAAGGCGTAGATGATCATCATGAAAAAGCAAAAAAAAAAAAAAAGGAATGAACGGCTTAAAGATAACGGAAATGTGAAATTGAATTAAACCATGGGCAAAAAAATGATAAAGATTTTTGGAAATCCATGCAAAAATAAAACGCGTGACCGCCTCCATGTATAGTCGGCGAAAGCCATTCTTGTCACCTTCTCCTCTTCACACGGGTTCAAAAGAAAAGAGACTAGACAAGAAAGTTGACAATATATTAATTCGTTTGAAATAAAACAAAAATACATAAATTAATTAATTAAAAAGAAAATTAAATAAAATCTTCTATGCAAGTTTTGTATGACTGGTTGCAGAGAATCATGCTCCCACCCAACAAGCAGTAAGCCATTCTGGTTCGTCAGCGTGACACCACGTGAACGCAATGGGAAAATTGGTCCGAAATGGGGACAAGAAAAAAAAAAGAAAAAAAAAAGGGGAAAAGAAGAGAGAGAGCGTTTCCGCGTAGACAGATAAAGACCGAGAGAAGAAACTGTTGGTAGGGAGAAATGGAGAGAATGAGAGGAAAGAAAAGCTTACTTTGGTTTCGTTTTCTTGAATCTGAACGAATAATAAAAAACGCTCTCTTTGACACCTGAGCTTATATCAAATCTTTCTATCTTTCCCCTTTTTTTAAGGTTTCTTCAGGGTTTGTTTTTGTGATCTTTCTTGAGGGTTCACACTGCTTGTTGTTCACACCATCTTAATATAAATCTTTGCTGATTTTTCTCTCTCCATCTTTTCTTCTTTTCTGTTTCTTTTTGGATCAATAATCCTTTTTGGTGGGTGCAAAATAAAGACTTAATAATCTTGTGGCTTTGTCTGGTTTGCGTGTGATACTTGTAATGGAGGGACACCAATACCATCACCATCATCGTCATCATCATCAGCAGCAGCAGCAGCATCAGCAACAGCCTATCAGTGTTAACGTCGATGTTGATAGATTTCCTCAATGGAGTATTCAGGAGACGAGGGAGTTTTTGATTATCAGAGCAGATCTGGATCGAAGTTTCATGGAGACCAAGAGGAACAAGCTGCTTTGGGAAGTTATCTCTACAAGGATGAGGGAAAAGGGCTACAATCGAAGCGCTGAACAGTGCAAGTGCAAGTGGAAAAACCTTGTTACTCGATACAAGGTATTCAATATTCGATTTAACCCTTTTTTTATGCAACGGATTACGTTTCCAGGAACCTTTATTTCTCTGTTTTGTTTAACTAAAATATGTATCCTGAAAACCCTATTATCAATATCACTTATTCAGGGTTGTGAAACGATGGAAGCAGAAGCTATGCGGCAACAATTCCCATTTTATAATGAGTTGCAAGCCATATTCTCGGCAAGGATGCAAAATATTCTAGGGTCAGAAGGTGAAGGAGGAGCGACCGGGTCAAAAAAGAAGGCGGTGCAGCTATCTTCAGATGAGGAAGAAGATATGGAGGAAAACGAGACAGATAGGGGTAGTTTTAGGAAGAAGAAAAAAGGCAAAACGGGTGCAGGTATTGGTGGAAGCAGCAATAATAATATAAAGGAGATTTTAGATGATTTCATGAGGCAACAGATGCAGATGGAAATGCAATGGAGAGAAGCGTTTGAGGCAAGGGAAAACGAAAGGCGGTTGAAAGAGATGGAATGGAGACAGACAATGGAAGCATTGGAGAATGAAAGGATAATGATGGATAGAAGATGGAGAGAAAGGGAAGAGGAAAGAAGAATGAGGGAAGAAGCTAGGGCTGAGAAGAGAGACGCTCTCATCACAGCACTATTAAACAAGATTATAAGAGAAGATCACATATAGACAAGTCAGTAGCTACAATCAGGTAACTTGTTTAGTTTTCATGTTTTTGGAGAAGAGGAGGCTTTATTTGAGAGGTTTGTCCTAGAACTCTCATTCTATCATGAGATCGATGTTTTTTAGTTCTATGGATTATTTCTCTCCTGCTGTTTTGCCCATCGAGGCTTCTTTTGCTAGTAAAATAGAGCTTCCATTTCCTTAGTTTTTTTTTTTATTATTATTGTTATTTTCTTCTTCATTGCCATTCTTTTATCATTAAGAGGTGACCGTGAAAACACATTTCAAAAGCACCATGAATAAAAAGCTCTCCAAGGTCTAGTTATATTTGGTGGTAGTTAAAGAAATTAAACAATCTACACAGCCAACCGATCCACAAACGATAGTGTTCGAGATAATGCTAAGCAAAGTAAGTATATATAGATTCATAGTGGACACGGTTGGAAATGGTCCATTCTTGCCAATGCCTCTCAAGTTCTTCAAAGTGTCGTACCTTTCACTTACAAAACTAGACCAAACTGTCCATAGATGTCCCTGGTCGCCACGTCTAGTGCTATCCGTACGTACACACACTTTCATGAAAGCATTTGTGGGAGCTTCGATCCCTAGCAACTAGAGTTTTAAAACAATAAGAATTTGTGTTTGTGGTTTCCATTGATGCTAAAGTTGTTTGAATATATGCATATGATTATTATTTTCTTGCTTTAGAATATCGACCAGGAACGACTGACCAAGAGTGATGGCTGTCAAAACATGTGCTTGACTAGCCCGGATTATATATCCTTGTGTGTTCTGCATTTTGTGAAGAGCTAGGTAGGGTAAACTAATGAGTAATAAAGAAGGTTACCATATGGGAGCCATACTCTCTAAAATGATTTCCCTCCACGCAAAACTAAAACAGGCAAGATATGTCAACGAGATAGATGAAAGGGTTTTATATATCTTGACATGAGGGTAGGTTGAGGTGAAACGAGTCAAGTAGATTTATGAACCAAATTTCTATTTATGTTTATACTTGTTGAAATTAGGAGTTATCTAACTGATTGTATTGTTTGTCTTTTTGTAAGCTGAGTTTGAGTGGCTTGCAATGCGAGTTTTCCTTGTTCATATTTGTCACTGTGAGAATAATTCAAGAAGAATTATTTCTTATAGTCCTATATATTATGTGACGTGACCCTAAATTTAACTTTAAGCTTTACCATATAAATATATATATATATATAGATGGATATTTAGCATATTTCTTTACATTCAATCAAGGGTATTTTAATATATGATCATGGCCATATATGTTATTTATATTTAAATTTGCATGCACTGAAATCTAAACCTACTTATTTCATTTTATTTTTATATATATTTTATGAATTTGAAATCGATACTGTTAGAATGATCTGAGGATCTTTGTACAATGATTGACTTTAAGATTTTACTTTCAAGGTGTTAAATATATTTTGTGTTAGTGGCAAGTCATGATAACAATGGATCGATCAGCATGTGGGGTTGATTTCTAGGGTTATATATGTTATATATGTTATATATGCCAGTCTGCCTAGCTAGCTAGCCAGCACCTTCAAACATGAAAAGAAAAAATCATGTGAAATGAGAACAAGAATTCCGTGTAATATTGAAAATGTTTTATGATATAGCTAGTACTATATCTATTCATTTGCTTTTTTTTTTTTTTAATGAAGACAGTGAATTATTGTTAGACATAATTCATGATTTGTGTTTTTCAAGTGGTGTATCAATTCATTGAAAGTAGTGGTAGCATATTGTTAGGCTGACCCAAGGTTTATTTTTTCATTAATCAAGAGTCAAGAGTGATGTTCATGCAAGCTCAAAATGATGTTATAAATTAATGTACTGGAAATTAATTGAAAAGTTTTGTTTCATCAAAAATAAAAATAATTTGCTAATTTATACTTTTTTTTAGAATATGGTCCATTACATGCAAGCTGTGTAAATATTGACTTTTTGAGCATTATTTTTTGTGATAGTGACAAGTTGGAACTCATAGATTTCTTACTTTTTACCCCTTTTGATTTTTATTTATTACTTTTTTTAGTTATATTAGGATTTTTGAGTAATTTTTTTGGGAAGATAACTTAGAATCTTGTGTTTAAATTTAAATACGAAGAAAATATATGATCGAGTGAAAGAAATCTAAAGATGATCAGATAAATGAAATCTAGGATTGATTAGTTTATTATATATGGGATCGAAGTATGTTACTAGACTAATTGCTACAGTATTGCAGGCATTGAAAATTTTTACTAAAAGTGTGAAACCAAGCAATGAGTCTTCTTCATGTGATTGCACTCTCGAGTTTTGCTTTCACATCTCACAGCACTTCTGAAACCCGATTTTTTGCAAGTGATTCAAGCAATTAATATGTTTGCTGACTCTAGATTTCATGAGTTATGGCTTTTTGTCAACAATATTCTTTGCAAGTTTAGTAGCATCAAGTGCTGCATCTTCCAAATCCATATGACATAATGATAATTTCTCTTTATTTTTTCATTTTTTTGGTTGCAACAATATAATATCATTTCATTTTTTGACACTACCCTCCTTGCCGATTGACTCTATTTTTCAGTCTGAAAAAATTTGAACTGGTTCCATTGTTGTATGTACGTATGATATGTTGCAATTGCAACAGTTCTGTCCACTACGTACAGCTTTTCATCATCACAGCCAGATGTCTTGTTTCGGCAATCAACGGCAAATAATTGTACTGCGTTCTTGACTATATTTCTTTTGATTTGATTTTCCAATGGATTCACCTATGATCATTGCTGGTTGGAAGACAACCAATAGCTTCAGAGACATGATCTGAAAATGTACAAAAGGAGAAAAATAAGCTTCAAATTTGCTGGACAGCTAACGTTATATCCGCGTTTCTGGCAGGAGATGTTTATAAAATTCACCGACGTATATATATCTTCTATATAGTGTCATGTGCCACGATTTATCTGAAGAAACCTTTGCAAATATAGTAGCTGCAATTTTTCAATCAGCTTCAGATTTGGCTACTCATCTAACTTAAATCACTCTTCTTTCTCTATTTTCATTTTCTTCTCTCTTTGGGAAATAATTGCTAATGGTGGTCCCATGATTAATTGCACAGAATAGAGTATTTATATATAAATATATATGTTTAATTTTGGCAGAAAAATATGGGCTAATTGATGAACAACCATACTTTTTATTTGCTTGAATTGACTAAGGTGAAGCCCGTTTCATGAGGATTTTGATTATCATAACCAAATTTATATATCCTAATTTAATTAATAATCACATGTTTTGTTTTTTATTATAAGACAGAAATATTTAAGTCGATACCAACTATATTACATTAGAGCCAAACCAATAAAAAATATTTATTGCACGTACTATTTAGTTATTACCAACTTGTTCTACTGGTTTTCTCATATACGATGTTGATCATTCTTGGAATGTTTTTTGAAGTCAACAGCCAGCAAAATCTAGAAACCGTAATATATTAACTCTTGTTTGACCACATCACCAAAAAAAAAAAAAAAAACTGCAGTAAAAATCAAAATTTATACCCTAAGCCACAGATCATTCATGCCGAAGTCGTTTAACTCAAAATTTGTACCACATAGTACAATACGTGCTCAAAAATAAAAATGGTGGGGTTTTCACCCTCAATCAGAGTGTCCAAACTGGGACAAGATAGATCTGATCAGTGAAAGAGGAGAAGAAAAAAAGAAAACAAAATTTAAAAAATGGAAACCAATAAAGATGCAAACCCTGGCCTTGAAATTTGTATTGCAAGTATCACATCAAAGGGTCACTGAAAATGATGAAAGGGAGAAAACAGCGAGATTCTACACAAATCACAATTATTTCAGTGGCAAGGCAAGCAAATAAGATTAATATACGACAACCTTTGCTCTCTTCAACAAGTTGACAACCTTTCTACCGTCTCTAGCCAATTAATTTTCCTCACATATTACATCTTTTCTCTTTTCTCTCTTTTATGCTTTTTTTTTTTTTTTGTTGGTTGGAGTTATTTTCACCACCTATTTTTTCAAATTTTAAATCATTAATGGGAAGAGAATAGTATTAAGGATTATCATGTAGGGTGTTATTCTCAATGTTCGGTTGAATTCACACATGAAATATATATATTCATATTTAAATAGATATTAAGGAAAAAAATATTTACCTTTAAAAAAAAAAAAAAAAAAAAACGTAATCACTTATGCATGAAGTCGGTGACCCTACATATCCAAGAAAATGAGTTGAGGGTGATTTTATGATTTATGAGGTGACAATATTTTGGTGGGTCCAAATCCAATGGGAATGGGAAATTAACAAATCACTTTTAATTAATATGTGCCTCATTTAATTTAATTTGATTTAATTAATTATTTCATCATGTAATTGCTCAGCTGATCCTGTTTAGGAAAAAAAATTCCTTTTAAAATAGAAACGAAATTAGAAGGAACTTGGGCTGACTTTTACCTCATTTTTTCCTTGAATATTCTTTAGGAGTTGGTCAAAATTTTGGACCATCTCCCATCCATTATATTAAATTCTTTGCGTAGACTTTCGCTTGTGTTTCTTTGTCAACATTAATTAGATATAAAATTTATTTATTAAATGAGATTTTACTTTTCATGAGAAAAATAAATAATGGTGACTTATTTTGTCTTAATGTTACAAGTTGAAAAAATAACGCGCTTATAAGGGGTCGGGACAAAAGGAATGAAATAAAAAATGAATACTACTTGAATAAAATCATTAATAAGATCAATATATACAAATACTACATTAAAAATTGACTACTATTATAATAGTATACAAACAATTTTTTCTTTTTCATTAAACTTAACATTTTGAAATTGAATCAAATACACATACACACACACATATATATATATATCTATTTGCAATATATTTTATTATTGAAATTAGACTAAAAAATAAACTCTTATTAATGGAATTTTTCATCGTTAACATACTTTTTATCCATAAAAAATTGTTTTAACAATAAAAAATTATCACTAAACGTTATCTAAAAGTGTGAAGCTGATAATATTCTACGATAATAAGAATGTTAATAGGTAAGGTATGGGGAAGATAAAATATTCTTCATCTTCAAATTTTTAAAATATATCTATTTCCGTTCTCAAACCTAATTAGTATTTCAAATTTACCCACATCTCCATTCCCCTGAGTATTTAATAGATATGGATAATTTTTATATCATAATTTTTTTATTAATATATATATTTTTAAACTTTTTAATTTTTTCTTGTATATTTAAGTAATTTTTTTACAAATTTATATTAATATATATTTTTTCAATAAAAATATATTAATTTTAATTAATCTAAAATAATAATTTATATTATTTAATATAAATTTATATACTAAATATATAAAAATATATATGTTGGGGATGGAGACAGGTAGTATAGGTACAAGACATGTATTATATTACCTGTCCTCATCCTCTTATCCAATAAAAATTTAAAATCATACACATTCTCATCTTTTTACTCATAATATAATACCTATCATCACCTCTAATCAAGTAAAAAGTTAAATTCCTCATTGAGTTTGGATAAAATTGACATCCGGATGATTTAATAAATTTTCTATCAACAATGAGTAAACTACTAGCACCGAAAAATTTCATCACTAAAAGTAATTATCATTTTAACTAAATTTCAAAAATAAAAATAAAATTGCCTTGCTAAAAACAATTAGCGACAAAAAGTCCTTCATTAAAGGGCAGTTTTGAAATATTTTAAAAAAATAAAATATATAATTCCATCAATAATTTATATAATTCTGTCACTAAAAGTATTTTGTACTTACTTAATTGGATTAATTTGAAAACATTCCATTGGTTAAGGTTACTAGTGACAAATTTTTCATTGTTAAAAGGTTTAAGCAGTGAAAACTCCATTGCTAATAATCGTTGGAAATTGTTTTTTTTTTCAAAATGAAAAAATTTTCGGGCTCAAAAGCATTCTATGTGAAGGGGGATTGATTCATTGAAGAAACAATGATCCTTTTCACACAATGTTTTTTTAGAAAAAAGACATTGTATGTGACAATATTCTCTTCCAAATTATATTAAAACAGCCAGATACAAATGAAAAAATGTTTATTTCAATTATCAAAAAATAAATAAGTCAAACGTGCCAACAAAGTCATGGTAGTCTTTTCTAAACTGCATTTCTAATAAAGAAACCACATATATATAAATGCGTTGCAGTCGAAATACTCTTCAAAAGGGAGAAAATGCATGCATACCAAACTGACTTCGCCAACCATTGTAGAACTGAAATTCAAACCCAATTAAGGCAGAAGAAAAGAGCATGTGAGGATGGAAACAAAATCAACTTTGAGACAGTATGTTTGCTATTATTACTTGGTAAGCTTTCTTACCTGAAATAATGAACAAAAGCTATTAACCTGCTTATCTGCAAAAATCCACTGATTTTGGAGATGTAAACAAGAATGAGAGACAAAGTTTACACAAATTGTTGTGCAAAAATCTCTATAAAATATTGCACATAACGTATACCATAAGTATCATCGTACAACAAATTATTAAAGACATAAATTTTTAATGAATCTTCCCTCTTATAGAATAATGTCAATATTTTATTATTAACCTAAAGAATTATCCTTTCATGAATATACATTCAAAATCATCACAAAGAACAATTACATGCAGCAGTTCAAGTAAGCATATATTTCATACTATTTTAATCACTACAGACATAACATATAACCATAGAAGCCATTACATCCAAAGTTTTGTAAGAAAAAGAAGACCTTCCTTTTCCAAAATGATAAGCTAGAGGAATCAATTGTTTCAACTAAATTAAACAATCATAAAAAGCCACATGAATAGAATAGTAATTCATAAATCATACAAACTAATTTCAGGATTGAAAGAAAATTGAGCAAACATTATAATTTGTCGGTGCAGTGCTAAGTTGTATCTTTATAATAGTACTACAGTTTTTTGCTTCCTAAGGATATAACTTTTTGAGAATAATAACATCTTTTTCAACTTCCCAACCTTGTTTTCTAAGATGTTGCTTAAGCTACATCTTAACTTCTTTAGTAATGACTTTCAAATATCACATAATCCCCTTTTTCCAAAAATTAAAGTCCAAAGTCAAAAACAACAAAAATACCACCCACTTTTTTCTTTTACCTACATCGTAAATGTACATGATTGTTCAAACATATGGGAACACGTTGCATTCTAACCTTTGATGGTATTATTGACTATTAAATAAGTTTCCTTAAGCCACTAGAGTCTCATATATGGATATAGGTAATCACACAAGCATCTAATTCCAAACAACCTAAATGTTTTAGAGAGTCTATTTTCTTGAAAGTCTGTTTTAAAGCAGACTAACACTATAAAGATTAGTCTAAAGTCTCTAACTTTGATTTTTAGCCCATGGCTAACCAAACAAGGCTAAAAAATAAACATTAATCAGAAAGAAGAATTTCCACATATCATCATTTTCATAGGCAAAAGAAAAGATTGAACTCGATAAAGAAAAGGCAAGAGACTAGTTTTTCGTTTGATGAGAGTGATCCAATAGGAAAAAAGCATCCCCAAGGTGTGCTTCAGGAGATATGCTAATTAGTAGCATGGATCAGGTTATTTTTCACAAAAATCCTACAATGTGATTCTAAAAGTAAAATTAATAGCATCAAAAGAGGACTTGGAATGTTTACTCTGTCATGCATGTTTACGAAACAAAATTATTGATGCAGGGGAATTGGGCAGTGGCCTTTAATTTCCAGTTGAGTCAGATTCAATACTAATGAGCTGTACACTTTAGCTTGCATTCAATCTCAGCTCCTTCAATCAACAATCCTGCAAGAAATAAAACTATACCAATCTTCGCATTGCACGTTTACTCAATGCCAACAGTTCCATACTTCCTACATAACTAAAGCAAAATTTTCAACAAAATAAAATCTACAGAGAAGTTGAACGCTATTTTTTTTACCATTCCTACCAAGTTGCCATGTGCATCAAACTAAAAAAGCCCATTACTTTGAAAGGTGCAACTTTTCCCTATAAAATCGCAATTGACCAAGTACTTCAACATTACTAAACAACAAATACTTGAACCTTTGCATCTCCAATAACAGATTAATAAAAGAAATTCATTGGTCATTCTAATAGTCACAAATTAGCAAATGGATATTAAGAAAATGTAACCATCCACCATTAAACCTCAACAAAATAATGAATATTTATCAAAAGGCCAAATTTTTGAAGGGGATGATACTTATGATATGTCACAGCTTTTGAGCTCACAGGATTTTCAATAAGAATCACCTACAATCCTTCAATGTGTGCTATATGAGCATAAAAATCAAGCAAAAAGAGTAAGCTTTAGAGTTCCATACAGAAACAAACGGCAAAGAGCAACAGCAAAGCCCACACATCTATTTTCCATTGGCACATATCTGTTCCACTACTGTTAGGCTTGATACAGAAACCAAATGGTCCAAAATTTTCCACGAAACAAAAAAACTCTACCAATGTCCTGAAATAAGATATTTAATGTCTAGATCAAAGCTTATTCCAAATCAATGACCAATCACTACCTTCTTCCAAACAGCAAAGCCCATTTCATTTTCGCATCCCCCCTAAACAACCCACACTCGAACAAACCAAGCAAATCCATGATGTTATGGTCAAAACCAATTTCAACCAAACCAAGCATAGCCCTTTCAGCATAATTAAATTTCCTTATTACATCTTAAACTAAAAGCATCCCTAATTCAGCCTCATGTCAGACTAAATCCATAAATCCCTAATTTCTGATCAACATCAAGTCAGCTTGA